ATTATTAAATAATTTAAAATATACTGTAGGTATTATATTTTATTCCTTCAGAATCACAAACTGGAGTTTCCCAAACAGCCTTGAGGTTGAATAAATCGGAAACATTTTCAGCCACACATCAAAAAATTCACGCGAGTGAAAAATCAACATCAATGAAACAAAAAGTGTAATTTTTCTGTATTTCTCAGTATGAGATAATGATACATAACTGAATTAATTATTATTTTTTCTATTTCTTTGTCATGGCTACTAGTAACTGTGAAGGGTGGCATGAATACATTTTTATGTCTCAATAAGTATAAATATAACAGCATTTCCACAAGTTCACATATGACTCCCTATATGATATATTTTCCATCTTGTTCCTTTTTTCATGCCTTAATGGTTTTATGAGAAGATGTTTTGACCCTCGCAACAACTCCTGACTACATGAGAAAACAGTGGTGCTGATAGTAAAAGTTGGAGGAAAAATAAAAGCCCTGCGGAGTCGAGAGATGATTTTCAGCAATCACAGTCCGTTTGGTCCTTTTTATCCATTATCCATAAAGCATTTAAGTGTATTTTTCCGGCCAAAAAGATTCCTGACAATGTAAAAAAAAAAAAAAGATTACTGAAAACGATTTCACTTCTGGCGCAGGAGAGAAGAGGAAGCTCATCCAGCCGACATCCTTGAAAGACCCCAAGCTTGAAAACCTAAAGCAGGTAGAAGATGAGTCTTTTCATCAACAGAAAAGAAAATAAATGATCTCTGATACGTATTTCCTTGCACGAGAATTTTCCTTGCCTTTTTGTAATCTCATTATGTAACGACCTCAAACTTTGACACATTTTTATTTCATTGACAGAGCGACACGTGTGAATTGGAAGTAAAAGTTATCAAAACATTTTTCTAACTTGAGATTTAAAAACTACATGAAACTACACAAAGTAATACAAATGGATGCCGTACTTTTCAGAAATTTTTTAATGTAAAAAAAAGTCATACAATTTTTTCTTTCACGTCACATTTTCTTGTCATAAAATCTCATTAACATGGATTAGATTTTGTGGTTGTGACAAAATATGGAAAAGTTTAAAGGTTATGAATTTTGACAAAGATGCCATTATATCAGAGCTTTGTAGTGTTTTAACTGAATATAAATATATGCACTTTTGCATATGAATGCATGGTACCGAACATCAATTATACCTGATAAGAGAGAGAGAGAGGGGGAAGGCTTAGTGAAAGTTTAATGAACATAATTATAAGCGGTGATAGGAGACAGATCAGACTGTGTCAGTGGGGAGTCTGACGGATCGCAGTTTAAAACCCTTTGTCGCAGGTAAAAATAGCAACTTAAGTGTTTCAGCCACGTAATGTTATAAATAAACCCTCAAATCAGAACAAAATGCAAGTGAAACAGCAGCTTTTCCCATGTCTGTCCAGTTCATTCTCACGTCGTCGCTGAGAACAGACAAAGCTTATTTAAGAAGCAGCCAGGCTCTCGTGCTGTTATCTTATTTTTTTTTTTTTCATCTGCTGCATTGGTAAAAGAAAAACGTTTGTGAGAAGGTGAGGTGTTTGATGTGTCTGACTGTGTGATTAATTGTGTCCTGAGAGGTCTTGGTGGACTGGATCAATAAGACTTTGAAAGCAGAGCACATCGTGATACAGAGTCTGGAGGAGGATCTGTACGATGGACTCGTCCTTCATCACCTGCTGGGTGAGACGTTACACGTTTGATGTCCCATTAAATCACTCAATCGTGATTTCAATAACTGGACCGAGAACAAATGAAACGGGCAGTCCCAGAAGCTTAACCCCGAGCTCATAAATAACGTCTTCCTGGTTTCTGCAGCCAGATTAGGCAACGTGAAGCTCGACGTGGAGGAGATAGCGCTGACCGGCTCCTCTCAGCTCCGTAAGCTGGAAGCCGTCATGAAAGAGCTGGACAAGATGCTGGGCGTGGAGGACAGCTGCCCGATCAAATGGGACGTCAAACGTGAGTCGACGCAATTCGACTTGGACTCTGCAACAAAAAAGCAACAAGTGAACAAATGTCCCCTTCTGGCACCGACTTCAGCTTCATTTCACGACAGGCTTTGGTGCTCGCTTGAGGGTGCCATCTAAGCTCACACCAGCTGGAAGGAATTTGAAAAGGGAGATCGAGTTAGTTTGAGGAAAATAAGACCAAGAAAACATGGGAAATTTTCCCAGATTTTATAAGCAAATGATTATCTAAATGTGAAATGTGTGTGCACATATTTTTAGGGCGTCTTCTTTTTGTGATGACGTAACCTGATGATGCAGAGCGATGTGACTCTCAATTTAATCCAGGTGTTACAGAAAAATCTGTGACCCATCATTTTCTGTGACCGCAGGGGGCGGAGGTGCGATTATTCTGGCCAGAGTGATCTGTGACCAGTGTGATTTTAGCTATTTGAGGGTTAAATATTGTTATAAATACACCCAGATTGTAGTGATGAGGTGGTAGAACTCTGAAAAATAGTTGTTTTAAACTTTGACATTATTTACAGGCCTGTGCAATAAGATCACAGATTATTCTAGCCAAAATAATCTGGCCATTTCTTAATCTGTTACCGATTTATTAAATGACCACAGCTGGTTTGCATATTTTAACGATGGCACATAGGGATTCAATGCGATGGTCAGTGTTCAGCCTCAAATACAAAGTAATGCATTACATTTATGGAGAAAATATAATGCATTATTTTGTATATAATCCCAGATGTGTCAGTATTTACACAGTATTTGCACTCTATCGTCCCCTGCGGTCACAGAAAATGATGGGTCACAGATTTTTCTGTAACACCTGTTTTGGAAATTGCAACTAATAAAAATGACAGGGCTCTTTTAGTTTGAGTGTCGCTTGAGTTCAGACTGGTTTCTCGGCAGCCAGAGCATTTTGATACCTCAGCAAACATTATTTTGCCATTTTTCCCCCCCACAAAAGCTGGAGACAGTGCTTTTTGAAGACTAGTGAAGTACACTTTACTGCCTATTTGTTTCGTTTTTTTTCTCAAAGGCATGGTTCTCAGAAAGAAAGATGAGGTATTAATACTCATAAGATATATGAGGTGAGTAATTTTAGCTAGGTAGCTAATTGCTAGCCTCCTACCTCTGGCAGTTATGCTAGCTGCTATGCTCACTGACAAGCTAACTACCGTTAAGCTAAAAGCAATGCAGCTATTTCTTCGTATTTTATGCATTTATACACAAAACAGACATGTTTTCAAGGCATAGGAAGGTTGCAGGTATCAAAATATTACAATTTGCTAAATGTGTATCCATGTTTTCCTTGAGTCATGAAGCCGTTTTTGAGAACATCCCTGAATGTCTTTCTCCAAAATTACCCATTTTAGTTGTGCTTCTGTTGTGTTTGTCCAAGATCCTTTTGGTTTATCTTAGTTGCCACACCATATGTTTTTGAGATCTGTCACATCAGTCCAAGCTGAACTTTTTTTTTTTCTTTTTTGTTTTGTTTTGTTTTCCGTTGTTTGCCTGTCAGTCATCCACAACAAAGATCTCCTAGCTACCATTCATCTGCTGGTTGCCATGGCAAAAGCCTTCCAGCCTGAGCTAAATCTGCCACCTAATGTGAAGATTGACGTTGTCACAGTAGAAGTAAGTCTTTTCAGCCCCGGACCTGCCTGGTGAAATTCCCACACAGCTTTGGCTAACTTTTCATTTTCACGCAGGTAAGCAAGAGCGGAATCAAATCTGAGGTGCAGACCGAAGTCCTGACAGAGGACAGGTGAGTGGATTTCTGCGTCTTGCTTGTGTCTTACTCTGATTTCATTTATATATATATATATATAAAAAAAAAACAGAAGTCATATCACATTTATTTTCTTTTTCTGCAGCAACGCAGGCTCAGGCTCCTCTAGCTATCCTGGAAGTGAGTGAGAGTGGTCAGAGGTTGAGCTGAAGTGACATCTTGAATGTTGTCCAAACACCATTAAAGCCTAACACATTTTTCTGGATGTCTCACCAACCCAGGGGAAGATCCCATTGAGCAACTGCTGAAGCTTGAGGCTACCAAGGTCAACACAGTGAAGAAGGTAAAAAAAAATAAAAAATAGACGACAGGAGGAGACATGCTGGCATTGTTCAAGGTGTTGATGCTCCCAACTTTAGAGATTTGTAAAGTTAATGCATAAAATACACCTCATACTGTGTGGGCTTGTGGTCCGCACTTCAACTTTCACTATAGTGAACAAGTCTGCTTAGTCCTGTCACTGTAACATTTTCTTTTTAGGGATTATCCCATGTTGCAGATCTAAACTACAAAAAGTCCAGTCAATTTAACATCTCTTCACAAAAATAGGCCAACAAGAAAATCATGGACTGTTGATTTTTGAATCTGTAATGTAAAATGATCCAATTAAAGCAGGATGCTTTAGTTAGCTCCACAATTAGCAGTTGATTAGGCGGGACAAGGCTAGGCATGTTTATTAGCACAGCAGGATCCATACACAAGGTCATTCAAAGTGCTAAAAACTGTTCAAGAAAAAGATAAACAAAGCAATAACTGTAATCATTTAAAGATGACATAAAAGGAAATAAACAGTCAAATGCACATTTAGACATTTAGACAAGATAAGTGTCATTTCCTTGACCCACAAAGCTGGCTTACCCTGTTGATGTCAGCCAATGACGGTGCCCTCTGCACCCGGCGAGTCAGGGCTGTGATAAAGGTGGCCTGACATTTGCCCACTTTGGTGCGTCGATCCTTTCACAAAACACTGGGAGGCAGCAAAAAAGGCGCCTTAATCCGGCCTTGAAGTGTTTTGTAAGAGCTAATAACACTTCCAGTCCCGATTTAAAGAATCCAATAGTTTTTGGACGTCGGGTTTACAGGGAGTTCGTTCCAGAGCTGGTGAGCGTAGAAACTAAATGCTGTCCGCGCTGGTCCTTGCAACACTGAGCTAACAAGTCTCTGAAGACACGAGGCGTCTAAAAGGATCCCACGAGACGTTCAGGTCCAACACCATTCCTTGAAGTTCAATAACACCATTTAAAAATCTATCCTTTTACTAACAGGGACTCAGTGCAATCCTGTGGTGTGATCCATTTCCCTGGTGCCGGTCAGGACTGTGGCAACAAGGTTTTGGTTAAGCTCTGATTAATTGTCTTACATATGCCAGTGAAGGCACCGTAAATATGACTTAAAATAGTGAAGCTAAGTTTTCACTTTACACCTTTGGCTTTGTAGGTCTGGGTCTAAAGCCACACCAAAGTTGCTCACATGTTCTGTCATTTTTAGCCTAATTGGATCTAGTAGAGTGCTGATCTCAAACATTTCATTTTGGATACCAAAAAGAAAAAAAAAGCAGACCAAGTGAGTATAAAGGACTTGTAGAATAAAATGTGTCATCAGCATGGTTATGTTAAGCAAGTAAATTTGTAAAAATGGAGCCTGGAGGAACACCGCATGTGATTGTTGTTCACTCAGACACAGCTTTTATAAATGACATAATGAAGTCTTGATTTGCTAAATTAGATGTTTCGCAGTTTCACAAGTACCCATCAACTCTACTGTTTGCCAATATTTTATGACCAGCAACTGCATCAAATGAAGCACTGACATCCAGTAAAAGTAAAGACAGATGCATTTGATGCAAAACTATGTCAGTCTTTGATCTGTGATGTGTTTCAAGCCAAGCTGGCCACGGAAGAGAACATTTTTCATCAGAACAACTTATTTGTTGAAGAGCTGACATTTCAGTTTTCCTCCTTGCCAATAATCTTCATGCTGCTGGACCTCCATGTTTATACGATGTACTGTCATAGTTTGTCTCTCTAGGAGGAAATACTCTGTTTGTCGAACCAAGCAGCCGATGTTGTGAGGTTACGCTGTCATTACTTGTAGATCAATGTCCTATTGACAACCTTAGATGTGCTTGTTGTGCTCAAATGTGTTTCGCTGAGCTTTCTCAACAGGATTGCCTTCAAATCTCCAGGTATTTCTGAGTCCAACTTTCAAAGGACTGTTTTCATCCACATTCTCTAATCTAATCATATGTTCAGTGTTCAGTACAAGTAGAAACCATTCAAAGTGAACTAATTCGAGGTGTCTTCAGGATGCCAGCGATGACTGGCATTTTGATCCTTCACAGGTTTTACTTCTAAGAATACAACGCGATAAAAGGCAAAGAACATGGACTTGGTGGTTTTATCGTCAGAGGAAATTCACACTCTGCCTGTTGCATTAGTTTTTATCGGCTGTTTATTTGGCTGCAACTACAGTTAAACTTTGTGAACTTTAGTGACTTAGCCAAGTGTCTCTTTTCCTTCTCCGGTTAATTTTCAACTGTTTGACCAATTTATTGCGTGACTTTTAGTAATGGCTGCACACAGTAACAGTTGCTACTTTACTATGAGCCTGATTACATCCCCTACTACAGTGGATGGCTTTGGTGACGGCACCTTTACTTACTCCCTCGCTTCTCAACTTCCGCTTTCAGGCCATCTTACACTTCGTCAACCAGAACATGGCATCGCTGGGTCTGCAGGTGGCTGATATGGACAAACAGGTACAATCTGACGGTTCGTTTACTCCAGGCTGCCGAATAATAAAAATAGACTCTACATTTAGCTTGCCTGAGATTTTATCACTGTTCGTATGAACGAGATCCAAAGTCCCGCGTTTCTGTCCCAGTTTGCTGATGGAGTGATATTGCTGCTGCTGATTGGCCAACTGGAAGGCTTCTTCATCCCACTGGTTGACTTCCACCTGACCCCTGCTAACGACGCCGAGATGGTAGGGTGTATGATTTTAAAGTTTGAAGTCTTCTTTTCATCAAATTTCAACATCTTAACATGATTTTTTTATATTTAAAATAAACGGTTGTGCGATGAAGACCTTCACTCTACTAGGATTTCTAAAAACCTTTGCTTTTATGTGTCTTAATTTCTTATCTAACCACTCAAAAACAGGCACAAGTACCTATTATAATGCATGTTTTGATCAAATGCATTTATGCAATTAACATAATAAAGCACTTGTGCCAATATCTTTGATCTTAATTTACGTTGGGCCAACAGGATGCGGCCTGTGAAGGTAAAACCTCTTTTATCTGAAATACGACGGGTTCATGAATAATTCACTGGGGCAACGACATCCGCTAACATCTTCCCTCTCAGACATATAGACGGTAAAATGATAGGAACAAAGTAATCAAAAATATATCTTTGTGTCTGATGTTTAGTAGTTATATGTTAAGGACATTCCACACTCCTATTACCAAGAGTTGGAGGATTTAATTTCAAAAACACAAGGCGTGGCTGCAACTGCAAAATGAAATATTGACGTCATATCGGAACATAATTCGTATTTAAGGAGATAAAACAGGTTTTAAATGTAAATTAGCATTATTTAAACTCACTTTGATAAATATGTTTGTGCTTTGTTTTTGGACTGCAGCTTCATAATGTGACGTTAGCCCTGGATCTCCTGGATGATATTGGCCTGCAGCTGCCCAATATTGACCCGCAAGGTGAGGAAAATGACGTCACTTTCCAGAGGAGCAAAAAACACAATCACAACACGGCACAAAATATTGGCTTGATGGCAGAAAAAAATCTAGCGTCTGTAAAATTACTGCAAACCGAGTCAGATAGCTGAAAGCGCCCCTGCTCCAAGACAGCAGTGTCAAACTAATTCATATTATCTCCTCTATCAGCAGCATTTATCCGGCTGAAATGGGAAAAGCTAAAAATCTGTTTGTGTGTCAGGCGGGACGCTTTGTCCACGGAGAATTTAATCGCTGGAGTGGAGAGAGGGATCGACGGTGTTTCACAGGAAAAAGATGAAATTGTTCAGGGAATATAAATGAGCGTGACTCGCGTCTTAGTATTTATACCTTAAGATGATTTTCTCCGTCTCAGGCCACCATCGTTCCTTTAGAGAGGAGCAGCAGAAAAGGCAGCCTCAAAGGGACAATGTTGTCTTGATGTCCTCTGATAGGAAAAGGGATTTAACCCAGCTCCTCTGCTGCAGGAGCGTTTGCCTGCGAGGAGGAATCCATGTTCATGAGCCGTGCTATCCTGGATATTATTGTTATCGGGCTCAAAATGTTGATTGTATCTGTGTACTATATTAAAAAGAAAGAGTGTCTTTCAACTCCAATTTGAAAATTGCCGTACTAATGATACAATTATAAACCTCTGAATATGAGTTTTTCATCCAGCAAAAAAAAAAAAGATATTTCTCCTTTTGATGCTTCCAGCCAATTTACAGCATGCAATGCTTAAAAAGACAAAACTCGACATTACAGTACATTGGACAAATTGTTTTCTGTTTTTGGTCAAACTGGAATATCAGAATTATTTCTATTAGCAAAATGGCAGAAAAATTTGAGCTTTTTAGAGAATTTTTTTGTACTTTTCTTCAAATTGAGGAGAACTATGCCTGGGAATAATTTGGGAACACACAGATAGTAATTTTATAACTTGGTACGTTTCCAATTAAGGTTAATGAATGCAACATTTGAATTAAATGGTAGCGCACCTGAGGATTTCAACCTCCAACACGCTGCTCACTTTGTGACATCATGGAGCAAATCTTAAAAATATCAGGCAAAATTATGGACCTCGATAACTCTGGTTCATTTTGGGGGACAGTTTTTATCCGTTAAAGTATAAAAACCAGTCAGTAATCATTATGTCTCACAGATAAATGTGTTGTGGTGTGAAATGTAGCTTGAGCTGCAGGCTGAAGCTGTTCAGTGAAACTCATCATTCGCGTTGACACAAGCTGAAAGGCCGCTCCGAGAGGAAGAAGGCATTGCTCTAAAGGGAACATAAAAAGCACAGTTACGGTTTGCAGAAGCACTCATTTGGTAAATATTGAGTTAAATATCTGTGTTTTGGAGTAGCCATTTCAAAACTCGGATCTTAGTCCCGCTGAAGATTTTTAAGCAGATCTGAAAAGGTGTGTGAACAATTCAGTTGTTACCTGACTGGAGGAATCAGCCAAAATTCCTGCCAGCTGTTGCGAGAAACTTCGGGAAGGATACAGAAAAATTAAACAAAATCGATTTGCATGGCTTTGGATGGTTTCACATAATACTGTACAATACAGCAACGTAATGAATCAACTAAAATTTGAGCTCTTTATCGTCCCGTGCAGGGTAGTATTTAACCACTTTATGACTTTTTATTGCATTGAATATAGTTGCACAATAAAACACTGAAGCAAATAATATTGTAGAGAATACCATTAGAAAAATATTCATGATATTTTTATAGTACTGGGTGTTTATTAACATAAAAATATTGCATGACACTGTAAACCACAGGTTACTCTCATGCGGTAAGTAGCAAATATAATCAGTTGCTGTATAACTTTTTTCACTGCAAATAGGAGAACAACGAAGCAAGGGAAACAACCGATATATCGGGACCTGAGTCCATCAGTACCAAACAGATTGATTTGGTATCGATCCATCAATTGGTATTGATGGATACGAATCCTTCAATTACCAAACGGGTCAGTCTTTCCTCTCCGTAGATCCGTTACCGACTGGATGATCTTTTGGTTGAGTTTCAACTTCCCTCTTACAGGCGCTCAAACTCGCCCATTCTCTTCTCCACCGGACGCGCACGGCGCCTTTTCAACCTTAAAATAAATTCCCGGCACTATAACTGATCATGTAAAGACCGGCACGATTAATCTAAGTCCAGAGGTGGCAGTTAATTTAATTCATTTTTACTGTCTTTTTAATTAACGCCATAATTGCTGTAATGAAAGGATGAATTCCAGGACTAAAGGCCTTTAAACGGGAGCATGCTGTGCGTGTTAATTAGATGAGCCAGCGATGGAGTCAATCTTAATGTCACGTTCATTCACTTATTGAGTCCCACCAAGGACAGAGAGATCAAATTTCTGCCTAATGGATTTTTCTTGTCCTCCTGATCTGTTGACCCGCCTGAGTGGATTGTGAGAGGAGCTATTAGCTAATGTCCACAAAGCGTGGTCGCAGTCACGGCGCTTCGACTTGGCCAGGCTGATTACGTAACATTTGTCCTGTGAATATTGTGACAGATATCGTCTCTCAGGACGTCGCCGCCACCTTGAAGGTCCTTTACGCCCTGTTCAGGAAGCACAAAAGGAACTGAGGGAGGAAGACAAGATGAGCTGCTGGAAATAAACAAGAAGATGGGAGGGGAAAAGTGTTTGCTGTGTAATTTATTGCTGTATTTTTGTTTTTTGGGTCGTCGTACAGATTTAGACAAAAACAGTGGGATCTATTTTCGAACATTTTAGCTTTTATGAATAGGGGCACTTTATGTAGTATAGGCTAAATGTGTTTTGAAAAATATATATATATATTTTTTGTAAATATCTTGAGAACTCAGGTTGAAAAGTACATCTTCTCTTGATTAAAAAAAAAGGTATTAAATTTTACTTTTATCAAATTTGGAGGACAGCAAATACTTCAGTGTTGGTGGCAGCAGCAAACTGCTTGAGTCAGAAAACTGATATTTTTTTAAGACTCTGCACACCTGACGGAGCCTCAGGTAGAGAAGCAAGAAACGCAGCTGATTGGAGTCAGTTTATGCAAATAAAGCTTTATATCCAGAAAACTAACATCTGACTATCATCACAGAAAAAAAAGAAAAGAAAAAGAAACGGTTGTTCACAGTTTAGAGCAGATTTTGTTTTACAGGTTTTCCGTGCTGAAACGTTTCAGTGATATGCCAAATTTGAATTTTTTTTTTACTGTTGCCACTAAAACCTTTGCAAAGTTTTGTCTACTTTTATATTTATGAATGCCATTGTGAATAATACGTTTCTCTTGACAATGACAGTATCATCAATATCTTAACTTCAGATGGACGACTAATATAAAGAAATATTCAAGGTACGGCATGTGGATGTAACTTAACTGTAGCTTAATCGACTGCATAAATATTAGGTCATGTGTCCTTGGTTGTGTATGTATTTCCATAAAGCTTCACTCCCTGGTAACACAATTCATGTGTCGTCTCTTATATTTTAAATTCAGCCTGAAGGAATTGTTTATTGTTGTTGCATCACTCCCTAAAATGATATTGATGCTTCCTCCTGTGTTCCTGCTAATGTTATCTGTATAAAACTCCTTTTCACAGCAGAGCGAACAGGAAGTGGTGAAAAACATAAGAAAAGCA